TAAAAACGACATCAAAAAATTATAAAATTTTACACACACGATCCTAACATTTTTCTGGGCATGTCTGCAAAAAATGGCATCAAAAAATGACAAACAAAATAAAACGCTACTAAAAAGCACTCAGCCCGCATAATGGGGCGCACAGGGGCCAGGATGGGTCAAAAATTTATATTTTTATTTACGTTTTGCATTCTAAAATTAATATACGATTTTTAGGAATTAATGCAACAAGCGGCACCATTTTTTGATGAATATTTTATTTTTTTATGCTTATCTTTTTTTTTGTCTTTGAAAAATAAAATAAAATAAAACCGACGTAAAAAAGTTATGAAATTTTGCAGACATGTTCCTTACATTTTTCTGGGCATGTTTGCAGAAAATGGCATCAAAAAATGACAACAAAAGTAAAACGCAGTGAAAAAGCTCCTGACCCGTGAAGTGGGGCACACAAGGGCCGGGATGAGTCAAAAATTTACATTTTTACTTATGTTTTGTATTAAAAAATTAATATACAATTTTTAGGAATTAATGCAACAAGCAGCACCATTTTTTGATGAATATTTTATTTTTTATGATTTTCTTTATGTTTCGTCTTTGAAAAATAAAAGCCTCTTTCATTTCACCGATTTAAGTTTTCAGTTTTAAGTTTTTACCATAAAAAGCTCTCAGAAAATGTCACATCTAACTTTTTCTCCTATAGTGAAAAGCTCTCAGAAAATATCACATCTAAACTCGAATTGAAAACTCGAATCCGCGAAGTGAACGAAGCCAAAATAAAATAAAAATTATGTCAAAAAATTATGAAATTTTGCACACAAGATCCTTACATTTCTCTGGGCATACTTGCAAAAAAAGGCCTAAAAAATGTACAAAAAGAAAAATGTTGTATGAAAGCTCCCGGCCCGCGTAGTGGGGCGCCCATGGGCCGGGATGGGTCAAAAATTTATCTTTTTATTTATATTTTACATTCTAAAATTAATATATGATTTTTTGGAATTAATACAACCAGCGGCACTATTTTTTGATGAATATTCTATTTTTTATGGTTTTCTTTATTTTTCATCTTTGAAAAATAAAATAAAATAAAAAAGCGTCATAAAATTATGAAATTTTGGAGACATGATCCTTACATTTTTACGGGCATGCCTGCAAAAAATGGCCTTAAAAAATGACAAAAAAGTAAAACACTATTAAAAATCCCCCGGCCCACGTAATGGGGCGCCCAGGGGTCGGGATGAGTCAAAAATTTACATTTTTATTTATGTTTTCCATTCTAAAATTAATATACGGTTTTTAGGAATTAATGCAATAAGCGGCACCATTTTTTGACGAATATTCTATTTTTTATGCTTTTCTTTATTTTTCATCTTTGAAAAATAAAATAAAATAAAAATGAATCATAAAATTATGAAATTTTGGAGACACGATCCCTACATTTTTCTGGACATGTTTGGGAAAAATGGCCCCAAAAAATGACAAAAAAAAGTAAAACACTGTCAAAATGCCCTCAGCCCCCATTGTGGGGCGCCCAATGGCCGGGATGGGTAAAAAATTTATATTTTTATTTATGTTTTGTATTCTAAAATTTATATATGATTTTTAGGAATTAATGCAACAAGCGGCACCATTTTTTGATGAATATTCTATTTTTTATGCTTTTCTTTATATTTCATCTTTAAAAAATAAAATAAAATAGAAATGATGTAAAAAAATTATGAAATTTTGTAGACACGATCCTTACACTTTTCTGGGCATGCCTAGAAAAAATGGCATCAAAAAATGACAAAAAAAGTAAAATGATATCAAAAAGCTCGCGGCCCACGTAGTGGGGCGTCCAGGGGCCGGGATGGGTCAAAAATTTATATTTTTATTTATGTCTTGTATTCTAAAATTAATATACAATTTTTAGTAATTAATGCAATAAGTGACACCATTTTTTTTTTATCAATATTCTATTTTTTATGGTTTTCTTTATTTTTCATCTTTGTAAAATAAAATAAAATAAAAATGAAACAAAAACTTATGAAATTTTGCAGACACGATCCTTACATTTTTCTAGGCATGCCTGAAAAAAATGGCCTCAAAAAATGACAAAAAAAAGTTTAACGCTGTCAAAAAGTTCCCGGCTCGCGTAATGGGGCGCCTAGGGTCCGGGATGGGTCAAAAATTCACATTTTTATTTATGATTTGCAGCCCAAAAGTAGTATACAATTTTTAGGAATTAATGCAACAAGTGAAACCATTTTTTGATGAATAGTCTATTTTTTATGATTTTCTTTATTTTTCCTCTTTGAAAAATAAAATAAAATATAAACGACGTCAAAAAATTATGAAATTTTGTAAACACGATCCTTACATTTTTCAGGGTATGCCTGGAAAAAATGGCCTCAAAAAATGATAAAAACAAGTAAAACGCTGTCAAAAAGCCCCTGACCCGCGTAGTGGGGCGCCCATGGGCAGGGATGGGTCAAAAATTTATATTTATATTTATATTTTACATTCTAAAATTAATATATGATTTTTTGGAATTAATGCAATAAGTGGCACAATTTTTTTATGAATATTCTATTTGTTATGGTTTTCTTTATTTTTCCTCTTTGAAAAATAAAGTGAAATAAAAATGACGTCAAAAAAGTATGAAATTTTGTGGACACAATCCTTACATTTTTCTCGGAATGCCTGCAAAAAATGATAAAAAAAAGTAAAAAACTGTAAAAAAAAAAGCCCCCGGCCCGCATAGTGGGGCGCCCAGGGACCGAGATGGGTAAAAAATTTACATTTTTATTTATGTTTTGTATTCTTAAATTAATATACGATTTTTAGGAATTAATGCAACAAGCGGCATCATTTTTTGACGAATATTCTATTTTTTATGCTTTTTTTCATCTTTAAAAAATAAAATAAAATAAAAATTCGTCATAAAATTATGAAATTTCAGAGACACGATCCCTACATTTTTTTAGACATGTCTCGGAAAAATGGACCCAAAAATGACAAAAAAAAGTAAAACACTATAAAAAAGCCCCCGGCCCGCGTAGTGGGGCGCCCTGGGGCCGGGATGGGTAAAAAATTTACATTTTTATTTATGTTTTGCATTCTAAAATTAATATGTGATTTTTAGAAATTAATACAACAAGCTGCACCATTTTTTGATGAATGTACTATTTTTTATGCTTTTCTTTATTTTTCATCTTTGAAAAAGAAAATAAAATAAAAATGACGTCATAAAATTATGAAATTTTGCAGAGACGATCATTACATTTTTTTGGGCATGCCTGGAAAAAATGGCGTCAAAAAATGACAAAAAAAGTAAAATGATATCAAGAAGCGCTCGGCCTGCGTAGTGGGGCGCCCAGGGGCCGGGATGGGTAAAAAATTTATATTTTTATTTATGTTTTTTATTCTAAAATTAGTATACAATTTTTAGTAATTAATGCAATAAGTGACACCATTTTTTGATGAATATTCTATTTTTTTATGGTTTTCTTTATTTTTCATATTTGAAAAATAAAATAATATAATAATGAAGTCAAAAAATTATGAAATTTTACTGACACGATTCTTACATTCTTCTAGGCATGCCTCGAAAAAATGGCCTAAAAATGACAAAAAAAAGTAAAACGCTGCAAAAAGTCACCGCCCCGCGTAGTGGGGCGGCCAGGGTCCGGAATGGGTAAAAAATTCACATTTTTATTTATGATTTGCAGTCCAAAATTAGTATACGATTTTTAGGAATTAATGCAACAAGCGGAACCATTTTTTGATGAATAGTCTATTTTTATGATTTTCTTTATTTTTCCTCTTTGAAAATAAAATAAAATATAAATGACGTCAAAAAATTATGAAATTTTACAAACACGATCCTTACAATTTTCAAGTCATGCCTGGAAAAAACGGCCTCAAAAAATGACAAAAAAAGTAAAACACTGTCAAAAAGCCCCCGACCCGCGTAGTGGGGTACCGATGGGCCAGGATGGGTCAAAAATTTATATTTTTATTTATATTTTGCGTTCTAAAATTAATATACGATTTTTAGGAATTAATGCAATAAGCAGAACCATTTTTTGATGAATATTCTATTTTTTATGGTTTTCTTTATTTTTCCTCTTTGAAAAATAGAGTAAAATAAAAACGACGTCAAAAAAATATGAAATTTTGCGGACACAATCATTACATTTTTCTGGGCATGCCTGCAAAAAATAACCACAAAAAATGACAAAAAAGTAAAACACTGTAAAAAAAAGCCCCCGGCCCCCGTAATGGGGTACCCAGGGACCGGGATGGGTAAAAAATTTACATTTTTATTTATATTTTGTATTCTTAAATTAATATATAATTTTTAGGAATTAATGCAACAAGCGGTAATATTTTTTGATGAATATTCTATTTTTTATGCTTTTTTTTATTTTTCGTCTTTAAAAAATAAAATAAAATAAAAACGCGTCATAAAATTATGAAATTTTACAGACACGATGCCTACATTTTCTGGACATGTTTGGGAAAAATGGCCCCAAAAAATGACAAAAAAAGTAAAACGCTATCAAAAAGTCTCTGGCCCGCGTAGTGGGGCGCCCTGAGGCCGAGATGAATAAAAAATTTATATTTTTATTTATGTTTTGTATTCTAAAATTAATATACTATTTTTAAGAATTAATGAAATAAACAACACTATTTTTTGATGAATATTCTATTTTTTATGATTTTTCTTTATTTTTCATTTTTAAAAAATAAAATAAAATAAAAATGACGTTAAAAAATTATTAAATTTTACAAACACAATCTTACATTTTTCTAGGCATATCTAGAAAAAATAACCTCAAAAAATGACCCAAAAAAAATAAAACGCTGTCAAAAAATTTTTGCCCAAAAAATTGACTTCGTTGTCAATTAGAGCTGATTTGCTACACATGTAAGTTTAGAGGTAATTTATATATAATTAAAAGTTCATGAAACAAACTGCAAATGTGTGAAAAGTTCTGGGGCTAAAATTCATCGTCCATTTTTTTTTTTTAATTTTTAGGGTTTAAGAAAGAGTCTATTGTCTCGACCAGCTTAACGTCCCAATTATAAGCATTTCCGAACGCGAGAGAAAGCAGACTCCACAAGAACTCCACGCTCCGAAATCATTTTTGGTCCGTGAACTTACCAAATGAGAGGGTTTTGCAAAGGAAAGGGTAATCGTGTATTGCTGAGTTTAATATCTGCTCTTTCAAGTTCCGGTAATTCAATTATGGGATTTTCCCCAATTGTGAAATTTTTGGGTGTCTGCTTTTTTCAGGAAATGCTTACTGGGAGGGATTTTTTTTTTTTTTTTTTGGTGGTCAATGATTTCTCTTTTTTAATCAAAATCACTGAAATTTGGTAACTTATTTGAATTTTTCTGATATTAGGCACAAGGTTTGAACTTTGTGCCCTGTTTTTTTTTTTTTGACTATGTTTTTAAACTAGGTCCTCAACTTGATTTCGTGCTTCTGTTTTCCATGGTGTTTTTATCATATATGGCGTGCTAGAAATGAACTTGTTCACCGTGATGCTGAGTTTGATTCTGCAAGAATTAGTGCGGGCGGTTATGGCGAGTTTTTCAGAGTTCTGGGGGGCGTTGTGTTCGACGAGCTTTTCCTCCGTGTGGCGTGCTGTCTGGCAGCCTTCTCCCTCGGAGTAGGTTGAGATTCAATTGTGCTTCTTCGTTCCGAGGAGATAAATTGGCTGTGGCAAGAGATTCATATGTGGAGGAAGGTTCATTCGGTAGTGCTATGGCCGGAGAGGCAGCGGTGTTTTTCGACTCGCCGTTCAGTGTGCCCTCCGGCTTCGAATTAACTCGGCAGAGTTTGGTGATTTAGGGCTCGTTTGTTTTATGCGTTTTTTAAACCAATGATTTTTATTCTGCAAAAAATTTGAATTTTAAAAGGCGGAATCAAGAATCAAGCATGAACTAAAAGGCCCACATCAAGATGCTGCTCAATCAGATTAGTTTATGGAAAGTCTGAGAGGCCAATTTTCTAGTTCATAATTTGGCTAAGTGATGTCTTTCTTCTTGTCTGTATGGTTGGATTGTTTTCCTTCCTCCCGCCCTCCCCCTAGCTTTTTCTCTGTTTGTCAGGGGTGTGATTGTGTGTTTTCTATTGTTGCGGCTTGTTTCCTTGTTTTGGGTGTTTTCGTGCCCTGTTAATGAAGTATCTTTCATAACTACTAAAAAAAAAAAAAAAAAAAAACATGAAAGAAGTGATATGGCTAGACAAGTAATTGTGCTTTCTTGAAGGACGTGATTTTTAAAACCTTTTGTAATAAAGATTTTATTGTCTTTAAATTGAGTAAATGGGTATAAGCAATTCCTGGTGGGACTTAAATTGTGTTTACTTGTTTTACATTTTCATTCATCTTCTTTGAAGGCTGTTATTGAATGTTCTTGGCATGCTACTTGTTAATTGATGTGCACAATATTTTTCAGCAACAAGAAATGAGTGGCAAGGGAGTACTGGAGCATACTCTAAAGGAAATACTGGTTGTGCTTAAACCCATCAGTAATGATTGGCTGGCACGGTTTCAAATCATCAATGAGATACGGGGAGTTGTAGGATCTCTGGAAAGCTTGAAAGGTGGTTTGTTATACTGCATTTTCATGGTTGTAATTCCTGATTATGTTTTATTCTAGCTGATGATGATTTCTGTGTCTTCTTAACTTGTATTTACTGTTTTCATCTATTGTTTAGAAAGTTTAAGTGACTGATGTTAATTGAACATAATTGGCACAAATAGGTGCAAGTGCAACCGTGGAGCCATTTGGATCATTTTTGACTAACCTCTTTACACGCCGGGGAGACTTGGATATTTCTATTGAAATAAACAACGGTTTACTTGTTCCGTCTTCTGGAAAGTTGCGCAAACTGATAGTGCTTAGAGATCTGATGAAAACCATGAGAGAAAGAGGTAGATTTGTTTTTCTTGTTAATTCTGTTGTCTTCTACAATCTTGTTTTCTTGTATAATTTTTATAATAAGAAGTATTCTTATATTCTTGGATATCAGTGTTGAACCGTTGTTCTTTTGTGTTGATTCATTTTGACCATGCCTTATATATTTGTTTCATAAAAAACTTGATTTGCAGGAGGGTGGAATAAGTTTCAATTCGTCCCCAGTGCAAGAATTCCCGTTTTAAAAGTTGAAAGCAATATCCGGAATATCATTTGTGACATTTCAGTTGACAATCTGCGAGGCCAAATGAAGTGCAAAATTGTGCGTTGGATCTGTGAAATAGATCCGCGCTTCCGTGATATGATTTTGCTGGTAAAACTTTATTGCTAGAAACAAGTTGTTATTCTTGGCAAGGCACATTCTTTATTATGTACTGTTGTAGTTTGTATAGGTAAAAGAATGGGCCAAAGTACACAATATTAATGATTCAAAAGCCGGGACTCTCAGTTCGTACTCTCTCACTTTGCTTGTGATCTTCCATTTTCAGGTGATTCTTTATCTTTGTATGAGTACCTATTCTAAGTTGGAGGATAGTTTGAATTCTAAGGAGATCGGATTTTCTATTTCAGCTGAATCCTGAAATTCAACTAATGATCTAAAAGATGGTTTTTCTGGACCTACTATATTGGAAGTAGGAGAGGCTTTAAGATTTTTTGTGCCTTTTTAACCATGATTTACTACTGCAGTACGACTGTACGAGATATTAGACAAGACAAGTAGGGATCTTACGGTCTCAAGAGTGATTTATCTATGTTATCTCATAGTCAGTCTTTTACTTTATTTTAGTTTTTTAATTTTCTTCCTCGAATTATCAGATTATCGAATTAGTCCTCCTCTTTTCAAGTTACTCGCTCTCTCTAATACTTAAATCATTCTCTCATTCGTCTCTCCATTCCTACCTATCTTCTTTCTTTTCTTTGGTTCTGCATCATTTACTTTCATTTACAGGATGCCATTGTCAACACATTCAACCTGATTCACATTGTTAGGTTTGCAGCTTTATTGTATAATCTCCTATATTTCTTGTTCTGTTGTGAGGCTGCGAGGTTAGGATCTTCTTAATTATTGTGGTATATGCATTTTAATAATGTATTTGGTTCATTTATCTCATACTTTTGTTCATAGCTGGAAGTTCCCTCATTCATTTTTTAACCCTGATCGTGATCTCAACCTTTTTTTTTTTTTTCAGACGTGTCAACCTCCAATTTTTCCACCTCTGAAGGATATATTTCCGGGAAATGTTTCTGATTATCTTACAGGTACTTTACCTTTAAATGTTAAATCTAAAATATCATACAAGCTGTTTGCATGTCAGATTTGTATTGCCGGAAGAGATTGGTTCATGAATGTAAAATGTAAAACTAGAGCCTTTAGTTGTTGACGTAAGAGTGCCATATTAACGACTTAACATGGACTTGTCCTCGATATTCAGATCAAGAAAATAGAAATAATTGCAGGTATCTTTTATCTGTTAACGACGCAAGATAAATTACATACTGTATTTTTTATTGAAGTTAAAGCTTGTGAGAATAATGTCGGAGGAATAGCAGTGTAGATAGCATCGTTGTTCAAACTTCTTAGAACAATGGTGTTCATAAATTTAAGATAGAGTAGGAATGAGATTATCAAGTGGTCACCCTGTCATTCTTTACTGGTAACTCATTCCTCTTTGTCAAGTACTATATGAACTGTATTTTTCAACTTCGCGTTTGTTATTGTTTTGCAAGACTTTACATCATTACATGGGTTCTCATATAAAGAGTACTTATGTGACAAGAGAACTACTTGGTCTTAAGTTACTAATTGACTAATTTAATATAGAGACGACTAATTGAAGGTTGCAACATGTTTTCTTTTTTGGGCAGGTTTGAGGGCCGATACAGAGAGGCATATTGCTGAGACTTGTGCTGAAAACATATTCAAGTTCAAGTCAGACAGACAGAGAGCAGTTAACCAAAGTTCTTTATCTGAACTTTACATTTCGTTCTTTGCAAAGGTTATTGTTGGAACTTATTTCACATCCTTGTTTCGTGTGGCTTAATGTAAGGGAAAAAAGTTAAGAATGAGTTACTACTAATAATAATTGTCGAAGCTAGCTGGGTATTGAAGCTTGAATCTTAATTTTTTCTTTTTTTTCATATTCAGTTATTCACTTTACCAATCATAGTAACTTGATATAAACTGTATCGTATATTTTATGCTATATTTGCAGTTTGAATCATATTCACTTTACCGTTTAAGTTGTTTCTGCATTGCAGTTTTCAGACATACGCTCATGGGCCTCAGAGTTTATGATTTGTCCACACACGGGGCAGTGGGAAAATAGAAAAGGCAATCGTAAATGGTTGCATGAAACTTCTGAAATACTCGTAATTCCTCTCTAATGTCTTTTGGCCAAGTTAATGAATTACCTATTATTTTCTCAACTGACTTCATATTTTTGGCTTTGCTTATGGTTGATTAGATTGAGGATCCTTTAGCACGGTCAGAAAATAGTGCAGGGGGTGTTAAAATAGGCCAATTGATAAGGATATCCGAAGCATTTGAATCAACTCGTGACAGGTTCATGTCAGCTAATTTAAAACCGAGTTCCATACTTGACATGCTAGTCCAACAGCAAACCTTCCAATCCGTGGATCCAAGACACAACGCCAGTGGATATCAGCCATCTCGTCCGCAGCGGCAAACGACCGACCTGAGTTCCATACTTGACATACTAGTCCGACAGCAAATATTCCAATCGGTGGAACCAAGACACAACACCGGTGGATATCAGCCATCTCATCCGCAGTGGCAAACGACCGAGGACTTGTACTTGCGTAATGCATGGAGCATTGGTGGCAACTACCAACCCTCACAGCCACACGCAGGGCAAATGGACACCCAAGTTCAATCTCTGTTGCAGGACAAGATTTTACAAAGCCTTTACTGCGATTCAACCACAGCAGGACCTTGTGTTCCAACGTATCATGATCAAGCCAGCAAATGTGAAGACCAAGATCTGGGAGATGGCACTTGTTACGGGTTGTCGCGGATTAAATAGTATATTTGCTGTCTGTTTTATTGAAGAGCAAAGTAGCACAAAAAAATGGCTTATGCAATTATGTTAATTTAGGCGAAGAACAAGGGCTCGATGGGTCGATCTTACATCTCATAGAGAGGACTGCAACCAGAAATGACAAAGGAAAGGGACAACTAACTTTACAGCTTACAGGAATAGGAAAAATTTAGCTTGGGTTAGGCAGTTTTAAGTCTCGCGGGTTCGAGTTGAGAACTTGAGTTGAAAGTGAATTTATGAGAGAATATTGTTGCAAAAAAGTAAAATTTATATTTTTGTGGAAGAAAACCTGTAGTAAAAAATTTTGAGTTGTAATTCAAATTGTGAAACGAACGTGCCTTTAGTTTTGCTAGAATTTATGGGGGGCTCTGATTATTATATCCCTGGATATTCCTTTATCCAGATGGATGGTGTTACTTGTTGGACTTGGCACATTTGAGCAAGACCTCCAAATTACAGTAAAAGAACTGAGGGGATCTTTGGCAAATCACAACTGTGGGGTTGTGAAATTAATCTGGGGGAAAAAAAGTAGTGTAGCTTATACATTGATATTCTGTTATCCTCATGAATTCATTATCTTTTTTTTCTTTTTAAGAAAAAGTTTCACTATAAGTATAATTTAACTAATTTGTCGCAAATGTTTTGACAATAAGTGGTGTGGTAATTTAGAGGTATTGCTTGATGCCTCTAGTTATTAATTATATCAAAAGACAAATAATTTTTTCCCCTTTCAGAACCCACCATGATCCATCTTTTAACTTTCTTGTTCTTGTCGCTTTCTAATTTCTTAATTGCTCGAAAATAAAAGCAGATTTGATTCTTTTTACATAGTTGTGGATTATAGAAATATAGATGTATAGTATATAGATTTAGAAGTGACGTAGTTTACCTAAAAAATACACACTTTATAAGAGCAATATTAGCTAGAATACTATACGTTTGTGTTGCCAATTGAAGCTAGTTGTACTCTATCCATTTAATCGCCTGCTTGTAAGACCATTGATTAATTGATAAAAGTTTAAAACACAAATACCAATACTATCTTTCACGGATGATATAGTAAGGTGTGAAAGGCAACCGGTGTACAAAAAGAATACAGTTTTAAACAATAAGATTATATTAAACTAAAAAAAGTATGGCAAGAATCTGATATTAATCTAACGTTTTGACATAATTGATTATATTAAACTAAAAAATATATAGAAAGAATGTGATATTAATCTAATGTTTCGAATTATTATGTCATTAATATGTTAATTTTTTCCACACCCTACCAATTTTTGTTTTTTTATAAAACAAAAAGAAAAGGAAGAAAATGAGTTAAAAAATACCAATAAACGAGTCAGGTTTTGGAATGGAGGAATAAAAAAGAAATAAAGACCAATTATACTTCAGTTACATGGTACGAAATATAGTCAACGTTAAAGAGGGGTTCACTTTTCATAATGAATCAAATTCTGTGTTCTTTTTCTTCAACCAAAAAAAAGAAAAAAAATTCTCCTTTTTTTTCACTCCTCCAAAGAGGGAAAAAAAAACATATATTATGCTTATATAGTTATATTGGACCCGTTTGATAATGTTTTCAAAATGATTTTATTTTTGATATAAAAATGAAAATGAGAATGTTTTGAAAATCATTCTAAAACCGATTCTGAAATTACATTTGGTGGTATTTCAAGATATTGGTTTGAGTATGATAAAAAAGTAAAATCGTGTTTAGTTACATTTGTGTTTGTTTTGAGTACATGTAATTAATAATCTTAAATTAATATATTAAGTAATTAATAATTGATAATTATTTAGCAAATAAAAATTAATATATTAATAATAGATAAATTATCATTAATGAGTACATTAGTAATTAAACTATATATACAATAAATTAATATGCTAAATAATTAAAAAATAATAATTAGTAATTAATTATAAGTAAGTACTATGTTAGTAATGTACTCATATTTATTAGATTATAAGTAATTAATTAGTGTATTAAGAAAAATAGTTAGTATATACATAATTTATTAATATTCTGTTTACTATTTAAATTATTAACTTTTAGTTACATAATTAAATAATTAGTTAATTAATTACTAATGTTTATTTAATAATCTATTATTTGATATATCACATGATCAATTTTTGGTAGTTATTCTTTTTATAATGATTAATTACTATTTATCAATTATTAATTATTATTGATTAGTATATTACATATTGATAATTATAATTTAATATTATTTATTAATTGATTAATTACTATTTATTTTTTATTTACCAACTATTTACTAATTAATAGATTATAATTAACATAATATATGATTGATATATTAATTATTAATTATTTATTTAATAACCTTTTATTACTTATTTTATTGTTAATATGTTATATAATTAAGTTTTGGCAATTAATCTTTAACTAAATAATTAATTACTATATTATTTATTATTTTATTAATAAAATTAAAATCTTAATAGTAATAAATTTATATTTAATTAATAATTAAGTAATTACTATCTATTTATTAGTTATTAAGTATATCTATTTACTAATTATTAATTAATATATAATATAATTAATTATTAATTATTTAATATAATATTGTTGATAAGTACTAGAAAATAAAAATAGAAAAGGAAAAACAACTTTCAATCGTTTTCTACTTTCTTCACAAAAATCATTCTCATTATTGTTTTTTCGTTTTCGTTTCCGTTTCAGTTTTCAAAAATTTTATTAAACAAACGCGATTTGTAGACTGTTTTTATTTTCATGCCTCAAAAGACTTGCGAAAACGTTTTTGAAAACAATTCTAAATGCACTCATTACGTCCGCTAACGATTTAAATTGGTAAAAGCACTTCCTTGTACAAGGCTTCCTCGTTTGGATGTTCTTTCATAACTTATCACGATATGTTTCAGAAAAAGTAGAATATTTCTGTTTGATTTGCTTTGTCATAGTTAATCACTTAAGTGGATAGCACTTTATAATAAGCGATTAGACGCCATATTGAGCACGTAAAGCTAGAAAAATGAACTTTTATCCATTTTTTATCAACTCATATAGAAGTTAGCTATCTTTGTACTGGCAGATTTAATCTTTTATTATTAATTTACTTTGTTAAGTTTTAATACCTATATAAAATAAAATGGCATTTCATATAACACGTAATTAGTTGATACTGAAAAGGTGGTGTTCCTGCCATTGTTTTTGTTGATATTTGTAACTTCTTGTTCAATGAAACAAAATTGTTTTCGTCAAAATTTGGAACCATAGTTACAAAAACGAGGAAGGCAATCTTCAAGGTTCTTGACAATTATAACATTTTTGTTTTATAAAGTTGTGTTGTAGCCCTCCAATTTCTTACATTTTCACAAAATCTTATATCCTCTAACCTCATTTTTGTCAAAATATTTCCTAATAAAAAGAAAAAGAAAACTTTTTAAATAAAAAAACTTTACTTTGTTCTATTAAATCTTTTTATGAAGCTTTTTATGGTAATATTTCAAAGATAGTGCGTGTTTTCTACATCAAAATAATACATATATACACACAGAGAAAATTGATAAAATCAAATCGATAAAAATCTAACAATACAAAATATTGTCTTACCAATAAGGTACCTTATTTATCCTGCAAAAAAATTCCATCTTTTTCCCTTGGAGAAAGACGAAACGAAAGGAGAGAGGAAGAGATCAAGTAGATAACCATTTTCAATTTTTTTAAAAAAAGTAGATAACCAAAGAATTAAGAAAACCTAACTCTTGTTAAGCAAAAAGGAAGACCCAACTCTTCAATGAATTTTGGCAATTATTTATCTTCCTCTTTTTTTTTTTTTTTTTTTTGGCATGACCAATGATCTCTTCACTTCGCAACAACCAAAACACTCCCATTTAATAGTACCGATTACCGAATTTGCTTTTTTTTCGCTTTTTTCTTTTTGGGATAATCTCAATTTGATAGCTCGTTTTACAATGAAATCGTAGTTTAGTATCTTATATTTCTTTTATAATTTTAAATTAGTACCTTAACATTTTAAAAAATTAAATTTTAGTACCCTGAAGTGTTTTTTTAACGGAAATAAAATATATATTAAAGAGTCATTAAAGGGTTAGGATACAAGGCAACATCAAAGTAAAAAAAAAAAACGGGTGTCACTCACATAATTAGACAATACAAATGTACTCTTATCACAAAATTTGATAGGACTCCTCTACAAAATAACACTAAAACAAGGTTCAGCCATTTAGAAACGACTCAAGATGAGCCACATCCTAATATCCTGAGGTCTTTATTACGACATGAAATGTCGAATTTGGTCTTTTTAATTATTTATGATTTGGTTGATCCGAATTTACTCTTTATTAAATGTCTTAAAAAAGACATTCTTTTTTAAAGACGTTTAATAAAGAATAAATTTAGGTCAACCAAATTTATTGCTTAGAAAAACACTTTTCTATTATATATAGTTAATTTAGGTGTATGAATAATATTTATTTTTATTTATAATTAATGTGAAGATATGTTAATGGGTTTTATGTAATTTTATTGCATGATAAAATCATAATTAATGTAAATTTAAATTAATAGGGATTTTAATAAATTTGGTCGGTGTAGTCGCAGATATAAACGAGAATTTCGTTTTAACGTATTAAATTTAAAACTATCCTTTTCTTTTTTTTTCTTTTTTCTTCTTTTTCCCTAGATACGCGAGGATCCAAGGAAGCATCACTTTGTCACTTCTTCCTTCTTCCTTCTTGGGCACTTTGTATAAATAGACTAAGTAAAAAGTATTTTTAAGTAAATAAACCACAAAAAAATTAAATTGGGTAAGTAGCCCAACTTCCACATCAGCATTCCACATCATCAATTATGATTTTAGGGTTTTCTTTCTCCTCCTCCTCTTCCATTTCGCGCCATTTTCTTCTCCCAGCAGCCTTCCATTTCTTCTCTCTTATTCTCAAGACATCGTCGTCGCATAACCTCATTAACATTATTATCTTGCCCATTTAACGTTTTTTTCTCGTCCAAAACGAAGTTTGAAGAAGAGCTACTAAGTAAGTCTTTCTTTTTCTATATCTCTCATGGTATTTTTCGTAGTTGTTCATATGTTTTTAAGATGAGAATGTAGTTAAAAATGTTAAAAATCCATTCAAATAGTAATTTTACATGGTAAAAGACCAGTTTACATTGTCTGATATGATGAAAATATGCTAGGTTTAGAAAAAAAGGTTTGTTCTTGGTCGGTTCATGGTCTGTTCTTGGTCTATTCTTGGTTTGTTCTTGGTCTGTTCTTATAATATGGTTGGTTCTTGGTCTGTTCTTATAATATGGTCGGTTCATGGTCTGTTCAGTCGAATCTGGTATTTTCGGTCAGTTCTGGTCTGTTCTTGGTCTGGGGGTCGGTTCGTGTTCTGTTCTTGGTCTGTTTGGACGGTTAATGGTCTGTTCTTGGTCTGGAGGTCGGTTCTTTGTCTGTTCTTAGTCTGTTCGGTCGGTTAATAGTTTGTTCTTTGTCTGTTCTTAGTTTGTTCTTATTA